CAGCGTCCAGTAAGAATTCCGGCGATTCTCGACTTCAATTGAAAGATATTAGCTCGCCAGTAGGTGACCGTTGTGTGTTAGGCGTGCGTTTGAGTTTGTCTCCGGCTGCTGAGAGCAGCGATGGAATGGTTAGTTAGTCAGGAGGTGATCGTTCGGGCAACATTCAGCCCAGCCAGTGTCACGCATGGCAAAATACACGGTTAAAATACACATGTTCACCCTATTGAGACCAGTTGTTATGGTGGAAACTTTGGCCGCTTTGCGGGACGGGAAAATATCATCAGATCGGAATGAAATTTTGCACAGAACCTTGTACCATAGTATCGACAAGAATTCCGACCCGGCCCGACGAATCCGACAAACTTTTTTTTTTGCCATGAAAATGTGGACCACCCTAGTGGTGAGTCGTCATTTTCATGCACTTTGAATTTTGCGTTGTATCGTACTTGAAGGCATTGAACATTGATATAGCGATCGGAGTGTTGCGGCCAGATTAGACGCTCCTTGTGTTTATTATTATATTTCGAAAACGCCACAGTTTTCATGCAGCTCATACCATATTATTTTGTTGTATTATTTCCGCCACACCTTAAATGCCGGTCCCTGAAAATATTGTCTGGCATAAATCGGTCCGTGGGGTAAAAAAGGTTGGGGGCCCCTGGTCTAGTCTGTCGGAACACAGATGATACAGAAGTATACTGTGTGCATGACATGAGAATGAAGAGTTCCTCAACTTGATGTTTTTTTTTTTTACATCCCTCCCCACTTTCCTTTGCTCAAGCGCAGCCTCTTGTCATGTGTTCCTGTTGGAAACACTAGTCTGCAAGACAGTAACTGCAGGCTCTAATGACAGGTTTAAAATGGAAACATTCACCAGAGGCCAGCAGAAACTGCCCCTGTAAACCATATTATTATGAGGCAGGCCCACGGTAAAGATGCTAACAAGTGTTTTTAGCGAAGTGCAATGCATGGAGTGTACATTCTCCCTCTCTTGGCCGAAGATTCTCAAAACAAGGCATATGTCAAACTCATTTTTGTCATGGGCCACTTTGGAGTTATGTTTTCCCTCGGAGGGCTGTGACGACAGAAACCTAATAAATGTTTCGTCATCGCATCGTATTATACTTGCGGACAAAAAAATTGATGGCTTGCTAGTTTTGAAATCAGTCAACTATTTGTTGTTTGTTCAATTATTGTTCAAATGAGTGTAAACAGGGTAGCAAAACTATTGCAAAATCTCAACATTATTTATTACACATGACAATTTGGCATTTTGGTACAGATTTTAGCAAGCAACATGAAAGTTGACACCCACGATTTGCTTTAGCCAGCTGCATAAAATGGCGTGGCGGGCCGAATCTGGCCCCTGGGCCTTGAGTTTGACACAGGCGGCTTATACGGTACATAAGGGACAATGAAAGTTAAATGACAGTTTTGATGCTGTGTTTCTAAATCATGAATGGGTCAACGTCCCTAACCATTTTTTGGTTCAATTTACACACAAATGCAATCGTGAATGCAGTTTGGAAAAGGTGTGGGGAACTGGTAATTCTGCAATTTCCTACATTAAATACTTGCAGTGACATGCGGTGAGTGTCATGACTGATGAGGTACTGAGTCCTCTGGAGTAGCATATAAAATATGAATTAATAATGTAGATGAATCTAAAATGGAATATTAGCCTGTATTTCAAATTTTGACCTGAACATTTGTTTTTAAAGATTTTAATTAATTATGCTTCGATCAATTCCACATTGTTCAACAATGTGATAGCAAGAAAGACAAGGATATTTAAAGGGCTACGCAACTTATTTACTCATTTTACCTCAGGTAACAACCAATCACAGCTCGTGTGACGTTCACAAGCTGAGCCCTGATTGGTCGTGACCTGACCCCTGAGCAGATGTGATGTCATTTGTAAAATGCGTTTTTAAAGGTGTTAATTGTCCATGAAAAATAATGCAGGTTTCAAATTCATTATAGAAAAAACATTAACTATTTACAGATGAAAATGGCGAAAAAGTTTCATATCCCTTTAATATAAGGTTAAATAAAGTCATATGTATTTATATAGCCCTGAATCATATCTGAGTCTCAAAGGGCTTCACAGGCCCACAATTGATAAATTCTAGTTCCTTCTTGTTTTTTGCTGACCACCCCTTTGAACAATTCAAAAGCATTTGGTCTTCATGAGATGTTAGAGAAGTGTGTTTATAAAATTACCCACGTGTATTGTATCGTAACTGCGTGT